CTGATGATACATGGAGGGGACTGTAATCATTGCAAGGATTTGTTGAATGTAAAACTGATGCTCTGCCATATCAACCTTCAATCAATTCACAATGAAAGCTTAAAAAAAAAAAAAAACTTGGTCTAGTGAAATAGAAAAAATAAAATTCAATGTAAATATACAAATAATATACAACTGATTTGCCAAAAACAGAATTAAAAGATACACTTTTGTTGGCTATAAACAAAAACAAAAAAGCATATATTTATATGTATCAGACAAGCTTCCAATATTTTTTTTTGAAATATGAAGGAAGTAGTGCTATAATTTTAAGTAATCCATACTACAATTATTCCAAGCATTGCACATTCACACAAACACACATGTTAAGTGACTGTACTTTTCCACGCTAATGGAATCATTTTTAATAATGGAAAGCAGAGACTATCATTACATTTCACATTAGAATAGAAAGATAAAAATAAAACCTGTATCTTTAACCAATGCTTTGTAAAGACCCCCTTTCCCTTTTGTTAACTGCAGGACGGATATATGGGTACCTGTGGCCTATAATAGAAACATCTGGAAATGGGTCAAAGTACTGGCTCACAGGAACTCTTTCTGAACTGCCTCCTCACTAGATTGTGTGTAGCAGACTGGAGTAAGGACTCTAGTAAGTAATGCTGAGGGGGCATCTTCTTGCTCAAAATTAGGCTGACACACCTAGCATTAGTTAGAAGAACTCAGGTCTTAGTTATGCAACAGGGATGCTCTCATATGGTTGTTATGCGGACTTAACCTGCAATCTACTTGGCCTGCATATAAGCACGCAGTCATTCACTCAGTTATTAGTAACTTAAGGCCTACTAAGTACTAGACACTCAAGAGTCCAGAAAGATAGTGTACACAAAAAATAGTTTAAAAAAAACATAAGCAAAACAAAACTCATGGAGTTTACTTTCTAGTTAACAGAGACAAACAAATATGTAAGAAACATATATAAGATTTCACATGAAGGAAAATAAACCAGCAAAGGGGAATATGAATATCAGAGGAAGGTGATGCAGATGTCACTGAAAAGTTGATAGTTAATCAACAATTTGAAGCAGGTGATACACCAGATTTGTAGATAATATGAGGAAATATCAAGTGCAAAGGTCCTGTAAGAAAAGCAAAGAGGCCAGTGTGTCTGTCTAAAACTGAGAGTGAAGCGGGGGTGGAGTGGAGGTGGGATTGGGGGTAGGTCTGAGAGCAAGCAGGAAATTAGGGGATTTATACACTATTTTGATTACTTTTACTCCGAGAAGAGAAGCTACTGGAGTGTTTAAGCATTTTTAAAGGATCACTTGAATTTTGATAATGAAGATATCATTTTTGGGGGGCCGGGGGGTTTTCAGATAAAAGTAGGGAAGACAGTTGGGAAACTGAATAAAATATCCCGATACTCAAGTGATCATAGCTTGGTGGTGAGAAATGGCTAGATTCTAGACAAACTGGATTTGCTGATAAACAAATGAGGGCTATGAGAGAAACGGAGGAGTTAAGTTTAAACTTGGCCTAAAATGCTTGGCCTAAGAATGGTGAAGCTGCTATTTGTGTAGTTAGGAAAGATTGACGGGGTTGCTTTTAGGGATAAGATCAGGAGTTTAGTTTTAGATCTGTTGAGTTTTAGATGCCTAATCAAATATCCAAATGCTCATGTAGACAGTCGGGAATTTGGGTTTGGATTTCAGGGGACAGGTCTGAGCTTGGGATATAAATTTGGGAGGTAGTAGCACATTGTTGTTGTTAGGTGCCATCGATTCGGTATCAACTCATAGCGACCCTATGTACAACAGGACGAAACACTGCCTGGTCCTGGGACAACCTCACAATTGTTGCCACACTTGATCCCATTGATGCTGCCGTCTTGCCAATCCATCTCGCTGGGGGTCTTCCTCTTTTTCTCTGATCCTCCACCTTACCAAACATGATATCCTTCTCCAGCAACTGGTCCCTCCTGACAATATGTCCGAATTATGAGAGACAAAGTTTGGCCACCCTTATGAAACCCCTACTCTGCTCATCTGTCTGATGGTGTCCTACAGGTCTCTGAGAGTCTGCTCATTTTTCTTCATTCTATGGCTCTCTGCTTCTCTAACTATATAATTTCAATCGATGTATATTTAAATTAGGGAGCTCTGGCAGCATAGTGATTATGAGTTGGGCTGCCAACCTCAAGGTCAGCAGTTCAAAACTACCAGCAGTTCCACAGGAGAAAGATGAGGCGTTCTGCTCCCGTCAAGATTTACAGCCTCAGAAACTCTGTGCAGGGTCGCTATGAGTCGGAACCGATTCCACGGTACTTAACAACAACATTGTTTAAATCTGAATTATTTCTTATGCTAGTTCAATCTGTTGTTGAGTCCCTCTAATGAATTTTTCATTTAATTGTACTTTTCAACTCCAGACCATTTAGTTTTATAAAAAATATCTATGTCTTTCTTAATATTCTATATTTGGTTAAGACTTAGTTTCCTTTAACTTTTAGACATGGTTTTCTTTAACTCTTTGAACACATTTATAATGGCTGATTTTAAATCTTTACAAAGTCCAATGTCTGGGCTTTCTCAGGGAGTATGTGTATTGCTTACTTTTTCCTGTGTAGAGCTTTATGTTCCAGTTTCTTTGTGTGTCTCTTAAGTTTTGCTGAAAACTAGACATTTTAATGATGTAATGTAGTAACCCTGAAAACCAGATTCTATACCCACAGATGTTTCTATTCCTGATTGTTTTTTTTAGTGACTTTTCTAAACTAATTCTGTGAATTCTACAAATTTTATTGTGTGGCCACTGAACTATCTGCTTGATTAGCTTGCTGCTGTTAAGTGCCACTGAGTTGCTTCTGATCCACAGTGATCCTGTGGAGGGTTTCTAAGGAGCAACTGGTGGGTTTGAATCACCTACCTCATAGTTAGCAGTCCAGTGCCACACTAGGACCCCCTGGTTAGCTTGGTGGTCAGTTCATGATTGAATAGAGATTTCTCAAAGGCCTTGAACCAGTAAGTCTTTCAGGCTTTGCCATGAAGCTTTGTGTGTGTATGTATGTTGGGGAACATCTTGGAAGCTTCACGAGGCAGTTTGCAACTCTTTTTTAGCCTTTACATCCTGCTGTGCAGAGCCTCAAGGTCATCTTGAGTTGGGAAATACATTCTTCTCAAGTCTCTTTACTAGGCATGTGTATTTTCCTGCCCATGTATCCGGCCTACTAGATTCCTAGGACTATGTCAGAGCTTTAAAAAACCCCTATGAAAATCTGTTGCTCAGATAAGTTTTTGGCCAGCCTCTTGATAATGCTTTTTCAGGCAGCTATGATAATAAATAATTGCTGCTGCGTTCCCCCCACTGAAGATCAAAGACCACAGCCTTCAGTATGGTGTGGTCTTTGATCAATGTAAAGAAAACATAATTCTTCACCATCAGACCAAAAAACAACATCCATATAAATGGAGAATAGATTGAAGTTGTCAAAGGCTTAATTTTGCTCAGATCAACCATCAACACTCATGGAAGCAGCAGTCAAGAAATCAAACGACATATTGCATTATGCAAATCTGCTGTACATGACCACTTTAAAATGTCAAAGAGTAAAGATGTCAGTTTGAGGACTAAGATGTGCCTGACCCAAACCATGGTATTTTCTATAGTCTCATATGCATGTGAAAGCTGGACAGTGCACAAGGAAGACCGTAGAAAAACTGATGCATCTGAGTTTTGGTGGTGGAGAATATTGAAAGTACCATGGACTGCCAGAAGGACAAACAAGTCTGTGTTGCAAGAAGTACAGCCAGAGTGCTCCTCAGAAGCTAGGATGAACCAGACTTCATTTCTCATACTTCAGACATAATGTCAGGAGGGACCAGTCCCTAGAGAAGGATATCATATTTGGTAAAATGGAGGGTCATCAAAAAGGAGAAAGATCCCCAATGAGATGGATTGGTACAGTGGCAGCAGCAATGGGCTCAAGAGTGGCAATGATTGCGAGGTTGGCACAGGACCTGGCAGTGTTTTGTTCTGTTGTGGATAGAGTGACTATGAGTTGGTACTGACTCGATGACACCTAACAACAACAACAGCAGGTTCCCCACATTCCTACCCTCTCATTCAACAAATTCCATGGGGATATGGTTTGTCAGTGAGTAAGCTCTGATAACTAAATAAGGGCAAGCCTGGTAAATGGGCTTTCCTGGTGACCTGGAAGGTTAAATAATGATAATTCTCTGGATTTGGGTTTTTGGGGTGCTGCAAATACATTCTGCCTCCTCTAGTGGCTACTGTGTTGCTGGGTTTCATAGCTACCTTGGTTGCATGGCTGCTAGTTTTCAAGGCTAGAGGGATATGAGGAGAGGGAGGCAGGAATATGGCAAGCAAGTTCAAACATTACAAAACTCATTCTTCTTACTGAGATTAAATTCCTTTTCTTACATAAACTTTCCTGAGATTACTGTAAACCTTTGACTAATTTATAGAGCTATGAAAAAATAATATTGACAATTTTGCTAATGTTCCTGTTGCTTTTATGGAGAAACAGATTTTCCAGTGTCCTTACTATGCATTTCCTAAAGTGGTTCTCCACTGACTTGATTTTTAAATTTAACCTGTTTTGTAAGTTTATTTACATCATATATAAGACTTTTATTCTTTTAAATGACTATAAAATTTTTTTTTTTGTAGGACTCCTGAA